TAAAAAAAGATGGCTATTTCCGATCATTTGTTCTGTCTAGCAAAGCGAAATTTATTGATGATGTCAGCGATGTAGAAGTATTTTGTAAAAAAAAATGTGTTTCTTTGACTCTTATATATATTTACAAGTTAATATCTTTTATTTGCCTATAAATATTTAAATAGAAGGCACCACTTACAATGTCGCTAATATCAGATAAAAATAATAATAAAGTATGCTTGTAGTAATAACCGGATTTCGTTTGGAATTAAAGTTATTGTAGATCATAACATGTAGCAAAATTAACACAAATGTTGTATTCATACGTAGGCATAATTGATTCATTATGATCTGAAAAAATCATAACGTTTTTGAATTATAAATCTGATTTGCTTAATGAGTGTAACCAGTTGGTACACGAACAGTGGGCCAATGTTGGACAATTTTGAAATTTTTAAAAAATGTAAATTTTATTAAGACAATCTTTTTTTGGCTCTTAATGAAAATGTTTAAAAATTATATATATAATTTATTATTGCTTTGATATAGCTTTTCAAATTAAGAATGGGGATATCTCGAGACAGAATGGGACGGGACATGCCAAAAAAGCCTGGAACAGTTAAAATATACAACACTAAACGTAACCGTAAACAAATAGATTTACCTATAAATAAATACGTGTAAACCTTATAATTAATAATGTATGTATAGTAGAAATTAAAAAAGTAAAATAATAAGTATAGTTTGTAAAAGAAGTTTTTTAAAAAGATTTTACCTATGATCTATACTAATCCTAACATGAAAAGAAAGCCCTAATTATTAAAAAAGTGATTGATTATATATAACCAATGTTATACTTTTGTAAATTTTTTTAGCTTACATCTATACAAACAGCTGTATATATAAATTGCACACAAGTTTATTTCTGTAATACCCAAAGTGAACCGGAACTTTATGTACGTACGTATGTATGTACAATTAAGTGTAGGCTTTTTTTGAAAGTTATTTTTAGAATACAAGTAATTAAAAAGAATTCTAATCGTTTTGGTTACATAGTAACAAATTGGGTATAAGCCATTCGCCGCTTAAGTCACACACGCTTCATTCTATTCGCATTCCGTTATACAAAGACATCTATTTTTGACAACACGCATATGATTTAATAAAGATTCTAAAAAATTTCGGGTTTACGAATTCAGAAAAAACACCTTAAAATAGCATAGCGGGCTTTCATTCCGATTGGCTAATTTTTGTAGATCATTTCGTGATTTTACAAAATCTGATTGGCTAATAGGCTTATACTAAAAACGAAACCCAAAGTAAAATGTTTCTCAAAATATTACAGTATTAATTGAATAAAAGATACATTTATTTAAATTTAATCAATACAATAATTATTACTTTAATCTGATAATCATTGTTATATATATAATCCGATTAGATTTTAAAAAAAAAAAAACAAAAAAAATCGATACGGTATCTTTAAATTTTAACGATCAATTAGATACGTGTATAAAGAGCTTTGTATTAAAACTAAATTGCTAACAATAAATAATACAGTAATATCAAGAAAAATAATAATTAAATTAAATAAATAAATTAAAAGGAATAGTAAACAACCACAAGTAAAAAGTACACAAAACTCAAACCTATCTTTCAATTGCTTCGACAAGTCTTTCAGATTTACCTATTAGATTACAAAACTTGAAACCAGTTTCGACTTTCATCAATATCAAGATCTATAGGCTTCGTCTAACAACTACAATCTAAACGTACTATCAATCTTGAGAACAAACTCGCTTACTAAAGATCCAACTATAAAAAAAAAAAGCTTTAATATTTCTTTCGTTTTAGATTCTTATATAGTATAAGTAACAACTAAATTTAAAAAACGCTCTATAGCTAACCCTCATGATTATTCCTCCGTTTTCGTGATTATTTTGACAGTATATAGAGCGAAAGGTGTAGTTTCTAAATATGTATTCGGTTCCCCTGGACAATTCGTTTTCATGGCAGCCAATTCGATTAAAGTCAGATGATATATGTGGCGTATATATGACGATACATTTTAGTAATTGACCAATCGGATTTAAAGACCGCTATGCTCCTTAAAATAACTATTTTTATTTTTCAGAAATATTACCGTATATTCCCGAAAATAAGCTATCCCTGTTTCTGTTTTTTGCAAAATTGTAAAGAAATCGCAAATAGTTTCTACTTATACAAATCAAAAGTTTACAAGTAAATCGCCTTTGGGTTTTAAGTAAAGTTATTTAGAACATCAAATTACATATATTATGAAAGTTTCATATAATTTGGACATGCATTCACGGATATATGTTAAATTTTTAAAAATCTAATGCCCCAATGTAAGTTATTTTTAAAAATTTCGTGTAATTTTTATGGCAAAAATGTTAACATATGTTCGGAAATATATATGATAAAGATCAAAAGCCATTATTAATGTAGTCTTAAATCAGTTAGCCCACGTAAAAGTACTTTTTGTGGATTTGTTGATGTGGCCTTTTCTCTTGTAGAGTTTTTCAAACTTTTGGATGAATCACCATAAGCCGAATAAAAATTCCTGTGATCTTGATATAGTGGTTGAAGAGTGATCAGAGATTAAATGCAAATAATAACGGAAACTAATTAGAAATCTGTTATTGATAAATTGCTTAAAAACAAGTTGTAGGCATAGCGTCATCTCTTTGAGAAAGGATACCCTAGCCATGGCGTGATGTTGGGTCATATGTCTTCCGAAGCATCCGGTCATATACCCAAAAATTAAACCAATCGAAGATAACACATAAATAAAAGGAACAGACATATAATTAGAGTTAGTAAAGACATGCGTGATAGTTAAAATGTTGCAAGGAATTTTTTTAATTAGACAACAGAAGACGATTTCAAAATTTGAGTTATTTGCTTTTTTTGAAAAAAACTATTGGTTAATAATATGTAAATCCACAAATTAACAAACTTCTACCTATACAGTATTTTAGCAAACATTTTTATGTACTGTATTGAAGCTCACCTAAATATTTTTATAGTATTTACCCTAGTTTTTTCAAAAAAAAACAGCTTTTAAATAGAAATTTCGTTTTTTTTAGTATCTCAAGATTTTTGATTCTTGTTAGCATTGGTATATTTCGAAATTAGAGACAGTATTTATTTCATTTTTGATTTGTGAAATATTATTCTAAACTGTATAACAGATAAATCCAAAGAAATTAACCAATCAAAGGTTGACATATATAAAGAGTAACTTTTCATGATTAGTCAATTTAGATTTATACAATTTAAACACTCTAACATAGTAAAATTTTTTTTAAAAAAATGTAACCGTCGCAGTATCGATATGATACAACCGAAGATCTTTACATAATTTCTTGGGTACATTTCACTCTGGTGCACCTTACTTAGAGATCGGTTTAAGTCAGAAAAATAGTAATGTGTAATCAATACAGGCGTTAAAGTTCTTAATTAACTTGCAAAAAGCGTAGCCAACTTGTTTAAGAAAAAAGCTTGCAAGTAATAATAACTTTATAGAAATATTAGACTAAATAGATTGTAGACACATAAAATCTTATGATTCTTTTTTTTATGTAAATAAATAGATTCTAATATTCTAATTAATTCACTCGTGGCCTACATAATATAGCTTACTGTATATTACTTGAGATTATAACTTTATCGTTTGATGAAAGAACTTTATTTTCCATATTTAAAATCATTTTAATTTATTTCTGATATTAAACAAATGGGGTTGTCGTGCTGTATAAATTCAAGGTTTTTAGAGTTTTTCAGAGTACATATGAGTATACAATATTGGGCAAACGATGAAAATAAAAAAAAAGAAATTGCCAAATAAACATTGAAATACTAATTAGTAGGGGTTGGACCCGGGTAGAAATTGTTGATATATAATCATAATAAATTACCCGGATAACCCGGGTAATTTAATAATACCCGGGTAGAGATTTTCTCAACGGGTCCAACCTCTACTAATTAGAAGTTCGAAACTGCAATTTTGCATACAAAACTTCCTTTTCTTTACTTATCCTAACTACTAACCTTTAATCTCAATTTTACGTATTATGTTTTCGTTATAAATTCATCTTCTGGGTTGTATTGCAGGCGTAAATACTCAAATAATGATGAAGGAATGTCTAAGCGAACTAGACGCTTATAATTTAATATTTTAGGATCAAAGCCACTTTAAACTAGGGTTGTACTATCTTTATATGTGCAAAATTGCCTTCCCGACATTTTTAGTAATATACCCAAAATAGGTTCAGGCTACCTTTCTTATTTTAATTTATAATTTGACATGTTGTATATTCTTAAAACCATATTTATACGTAACATCGATCAGCCAATCAAAATCATAAATTTTAAAAAGATCAAAAATTAATGAAATCGAAGAGAAATTTAATTAAAACTTATATTTAAAGCACAAGGTAAATGCAACCAGATGTCTTTACATTGTAAGTAAAACATGTCTTTATTTATTTAAATTATTTATTAATTACTTATGTGTTCAAATATGTATTTATCTAGAACTTAAATATCTTATACAATCTTTTATTACATTCCACTATTCTATAAAAAATTTTTTCGACATTGGTATATACACAAATACTTTATAAGTGTCTTCCACGCCTCAACTTTCATAGCCTAAAAAACAAAATTTTGAAATAATTAATTACACGTATTATATATTACATACATATTTTTATATATTTTATTTTTATTTGTTTTGAAAATTTTCGTATAATTAATTAATGTATTCAATTAAATAAACTAATATCTTTTACTTACGTTACCTTTGCTGAATCGTTGTTTTAAACGTTTTTAACTTTTTTCTTGCCCAACAAACGAAATTTAGACGAAGTAGGTTCTTAAATTTCTTATAACTTTGGTAATTATGAAAGTTGGTGGATTAAAATGGATTATGATATAAGGCAGAAAGAAAGCTTAAACACTTTATCCCTTAAGATCCTACGACATAGATCAATATTATGTACCTCTATGTCGATATACATTCTGATTGGTTTCCTTTTCGGGTTTGCATCACCAAATAAATCCAAAATCGCGTTATTTTTTCTAGATCACCAAATCGCGTTTATTTTAAATTTTTATTTCCCTAGCGTGACATGACAGAAATATAGTACTTTGATAATGTAACAAGTCTACCCTGACCGAAGTCCAGGAACGCTGTGGTGTTTCTTTAGATCAAGACCTGCCGATAAAGCCGAGAACACTAGTGTTTCTTAGGTGAAGTCAAAGAACTGAGAAATGCTTATTGTGATATTTCGTTAGGTGGTGATAAGCCTAGAAACATTTATGTTTGCTAGGTGTACGTGGCCAGTGCCAAGAAGCCAAAAAACAAAATAGGCACAATGCCTGTTTTTTTTTTTAGGCGGTTAATAAGTCGAGACATATTTTAACGATCGACGAACCTAAAAAGTATGTTTTGTAGGTGTATGGCTAAGGGGACAAATTAATTATTTTTGTTCACTATTATGGGAAAATTTTGCTATATTTAAGGTTCTTCTAACGGATTTATGGCTATATTAGTAGTTAAAGTTTATGGGATGCTTCATTAATTTTCTATTATGCTTTTTAATTAAGAATTCATGTCTTTGCAATTATAGTTGTTTGGGTTAAAAAAAAAAAAGTGTTATTGATTGTCGTTGCATCTGCTTTTGTGTGATCAATTTGACTTTGCATTTTTTTTCGATTTTAACCTAGGAGTATCTCAGGATGCCGATGGCGTTCTTTATTAGTATTCTACATAATTACATTGATTAATTAATTAATTTATCATAAAAGTTCCTTTATGATTTTTTCCTCATTTTTACATTTGCTGTCTCTTTTATAATCGTATTTCAGCACTTATTATTTTGTCGACTTTGTGTTTAATTACTAATTCTAATACAGAGGTTCTCACATTGCGTGTGTATACCAAACCCAATTTCATAGACAACATTAATGTTTATCCAGTTCCTTAGGTGGATACTACTGTATAATGAATGATCTGTGACATATCCTTTAAGTTTTTAGGCACTTCAAGTTTTATTGTGAGGGTTACTAGTTCTAATGCTATTTTCCAAATTCTTCTATTTATAGAACAATTTAGAGTGAAGTGCTTTAGCGATTGAATATATTGGAGTAGTTTGGGGTTAATATGTAGAAGTCTGCGATCCAAGGGTAAGGCTTTATGATAAAGACGCCACTATATATATATTTTTTTTTTGAGGTTAGAAACCCCATTTGCTTTTCATCCAATTCCAACTATCTTTCCATGTATCATTTATTAGCTGACTCCGGTTTTTAATATTGCAAAGTGTTTCTCTTTTAACTGCAAGCTCCTTTCATCATATAGGTTCTTTTCAATTATCGTCCTTTTTGCTTTTACCATAGATTATCTTCGGTTAGAAGTTTTATTCAGATGTATAGCAAACGTGCATCGATTAAGTCTGGTAGCGTTGTGGAGTCCTGTCTACCTTGTGATGGTGGGAGTTGACTATGTATATTTAGTTAGTGAAGTAAGCGGGCCACCTTTGAAAAGTTTCTTAACAAGGAAAGATTTAATTTGTGCAAACCAATTGCAATGCGAAAGATGAAAAGAATCTTTGTATATTGGCTATGGTGACAGTATTCGGACCAATTCTGGATGAACCAGACTTCAATATTTTATTAAATGTAATGATATGTTTTATGATTCAATTCAAATGTATGTATTTTTATATTTGAGTAATTTAAATAATTATTAATTAATGTCGTAATATATTGTGCAGAAAAAACCTGTATTGGATCATATGATGCATAAGGTCTATCGCTCAAGACTTTTAAATGGGGTTGATCTTCTTTTAGAGAAAAAAACATTGATAAAGTTGGCCTTTTACATTTTTAGTTACTATTTACAAGTTGATTGTAAGTAATTTAAAATATTCTAACAAATATTTACACATGATTATATTCTGTATAGATTACCGAAAATTTTAAGAACAATGAATGAAGTTTCAAGAAAAAAGCAAGAATGGATTGTCAAAGATGTCAGCATTGATTTTGGTGCCTTGAAAATAAGAAAGGCAATAAAAAAACTGGTGCTTTCGCAAACAATCACCACATAAATTCTGTTATCATTGACATCAAGAAATAATTCCCCAAAGGAATTAATAGTCAACCTATTGAATTTTTTCTACCTCCATTATTGGCCAAGAAAACCCTGAAGGAGATGAATTCTTTATTTTCAAATGAACAAGTTTTTGCTGTAGATAATGGTATTATGCTTATGCCAGAATGAATGCCAATGAACACTTTTGATGACAGTTTAATAAAATAAATTTACTCTTTAAAGGTTAAGTAAGATTCTTGTTCAAGTAAGTTTTTACGTTCTTACATTTGAGATTATATCTAAATAGTTTGTTCTATCTGTTCATTTTTGTGTTTATAATAACAACTTTGTTTTCCTGATCCTTGTGAACAAATATTTTGTTTTGTATATCCGAATATCTTACATTTCATCAATATTCTGGACATATTATAGATCCGGATTTAAATCTGAAGAGTCTATTATTGTAATGAATCTTGCATTCGACTTTTTAAGGTAATTGATTTTGAGGTGACACTTTGGTCGTGATTGGCGAGATCCAACAAAAGAGAATAATTTTTATGTCTATTGCCAGGAAATTATACTTTAATCACTTGCACAATGAAAAGTAACTTTATTAGTTATGCCAAGAAAATCTTGGGACTCTGTTCCTATAACTATGAGCCCGTGATATATCAAGTATATTCTATATGTAATATTAATTATACCACTATCTCATACCAGTATATAAAGTATTATAGTTAGTATTAACCACCTCTTTTTATTAGTCGGTATAATTCATTAATTAAAACTATATTACGCTACACCTTAGACTTTATTAATAGATAGTACATAATAAATTTTGCGTGTTACAATATTAATTCAAAATTATAAAAGTATACTTTTATTATAATAAAACAATAACTTGCTAGAAAATTTAAACTAAATAAATCCTTTGTAAAAGGCAGAATTAATTTGTTTGCTGGATCAGTGTAAATTTTATGTAATAACTTTCATCGCAATAAATTTCATCAGAATAAACTTTATCAGAATAAATAATTTCTCCACTTTTTATTGGGTTTAATATTTGCATAAATCTTTCACGAGACCTAGATAATTCTAGTTTATCATTTTGCCGCTTTGTAAAAGTTTCTACGACTTCGTCTGCGGATGGACGTCTTTCCAGTTTTCCATCCCAGCATTGTTTCGTTAAATTAGCATAACAAGTTTCTGTATATTCTTCGCCTTGATTTATTAAGTACTTTTTTCTTTTGCAAATGCGAGCCAAATTTGTTATAAAATGTAGTCTCAAGTATTCTATATAAAATTTTCCACATGATTATGCAAATGAGTAAATATCAGATATAGTTTTCTATTTTAACTTCAGGATCAATAACTTCAGGAGCTAGATATGGTAAAACTCCAGCAATTTTATCAGTATCAGATTTTAATTTTTCAATGCATGGTAGCCATTGAAAACTCCTAAATCGCCAATCTACCACTTTTTGGATTTTTAGCAGTATATTGCCATTATGTAAATCCCGATGAATAAGGTCATACAATGTAGCAGATTTAATTTATCTTTCCAATCCATTTGTGCTATAGATGATATATTTTCGGCAAACTACCATATGGAGAATGTGTCATAACAAGAATATAATCTTTAGAAGCTTTGTCTCTTGATATACCCAAACATTTTAAAAAAGTGAAATTTTAAAACTGATATCACAATATGCTTTTAACTTATTAAATTGAAATACCGTATATTTTCAATTATTAATATGAGTGTCGCTAAAATAAACCCCGAAAATTTAAATAAAAATCATATTTAAATTTTTGGGTTTTCTTTTAGCGACACTCATATAAATGATAAAATACGAATGATACATTGTAATTAATAAATAAGAACTGCGCACATAGTTGCACTAAAACCAGGAACGGATGCCCAGTAGATTGTATTGATCTAATTTTATAAGAATATATACAATACCTCTCAAAATATTTTATATGAAGTATTCTCTTCTTCACGGATCCGTATTACTTCGTAAACACCTAATTTAATCTATTTAAAATACTTGCTGATATAAGCTTGTGTTTTTTTTTTTACCTTTGCAATGTCGTGAATAGGTGAATTTTTATTAGGTATTTTAGTAGTACATTCTTGGTTAATGAAAGTACATTTAGCCACACGTGCAACTTTTGGTTGCCTATTTAAGTAGTCTGCTCAATGGTTCTACATTATATGCTGTATCTGTAATCTAACTAGGAAGTTACCCATTTAAATTCTCTGATGTCCTCCATCTTGCATCACCACCTCAATTATGCCAGCTCATAACTTTGTGCTGCTTCAATTTAAGATCATCCAAATCGACATGTGCTATACTACTTTCATCCTAATTCTATAGATAACCCAATAGGATTCTTATACTACTGGGTCATCCAAGGAGAGGTGTAGTACATATCTCCTTAATTTTTCTTTGTTTTACACATTTTCATATTAGGCTTAAATACCTTTCGCAGCAGCTGAAATCATCACTAGCAGTCAGAGCTAACCATTAAACTGCACAATTCTAATATTTGTGCTCTTACAAAATTTATTCTGATCCTGATAACCACTTCAAACCAGTCTTTATACCAATCCTTTCCAAACTATCAAACCAGTTAGTCCAGATGGGTTATTATACCTAGGCTTTAAGTGTTTTCTGGTTTTACTTCACTTGATTTTTAATTCTGTAGAATAGAACCTTTTCCTCTAGTGTGACACTAGTGGCCAGATTGGTGGACTCTTCTTTTGTCAGGGTTTTTTGTCCAGTTTTTTGGTCTCTGGTTCTGGCTTTCTATAATATCATCAAAGATATTCACTACTATATAGTACTGCTTATAAGACCCCTAGTCTTATTTAAGAAACTCATCAGCTAATTTGAATAGTACCTGAAGGTACTGTGTGAGAAGGAGGGTACTATAAAAGGGGATACTTTGGAAGGAGAATTAATTGACCAATCAAAATCATAAATATTTTGTATAAAATCATAAAATTGGTCACATGAAAAAGAACATGATATGTTTCATAGAACTATATTTATAAAATTTATTAATTATTAAGAGCCCCTGAATTGTGTAAAGAAGTATGAATTTTTTAAATAAAATACAAATACTTGTTTTATATTATATAAATTTTTTTCCAACAATGCCTATATATGCCAATAAGTCTATAGATTATGTACAAATGACAAAATAATTGTGTTATTAATAGAATATGTGTGAAAAACTTGCAGCTATTTTGTACTATGAAAATGGTCATAGTAAAAATAATACAGCTACTAAATTTAATATTGAAACTAAACAACTTTGGAATTCAAAAAAAACAACTTTTAAAAACACAACAAGGAAAAAAAAACTAAATAAGGATGTATCCCCTAAGTATTTGACTTTAGAAACTACCTTGGTTGAATGAATAAAAGAATAAAGAAATAGTCAAAAAGCTGTTTCATAACATATGATTCAAGTAAAGACAAAAACACTTGCATAGCAATCTCAATAGAAAAATACTTATCCTAGTATTGAATCATTTGCTTTTTCGAATAAATGGTTGGATTGCTTAATATATTGTAATAATTTGAGTAATCATCAAAGAATTACTACTACACAATATTTGCCCAAAGATCTAATTGAACAACAAAATCAATTTTTATCTTTGGTTATGTATTGACATATATAAACTGATTATCTATTAGCACTTATTGGTAATATAAACAAAACACTTATGGAATATGATCTTCTGAGTAATACTACAGTTGATGAATTGGGTATTTAATCTATTAGCATTCAAACAACAGTATATGAAACCTCTAAATTTACTATAGTGTTGAGTTGCATGGCTAATAGTATAAAGCTTTCTTCTACTGTGATCTTTAAGCTTAAGAATATCTTCTGAGATACTTTTTCACCTAGAATAGTTGCTTGAGCTAATCCTTCAGAATGGATGAATGAAGAAAAATACTTTATTAGATTGAAAATATTTGGGTTAAACACATACTATGCTCTAATCCACGGTCTCTACTTGTTTTGGACTCATTTAAGATATACATATTTGATTTTGTAAAACACCAATTTGATGAAAAAAGAACTAATTAAGCTATTATTCTGGAAACTAACAAAGAATTTGCAGCCTTTAGATGTTGCAATAAATAAATCATTCAAAACTAAAGTAAGAATATCCTTTTTTTTTAATTATTTTTTACTTATTTATTGTTTGTTAATAAGATGTGAAAATATTATAATGAGTAGATAGCTAAATCAATAAAGCAACTAACACCTACTAGTAAAATCATAGAATGTAGTTAATGTGGGTTTGATTCAATAATTATTCAAGTGTTGTGGTATTTGAATGATAAAAATAAGTCTGAAGATGAATTAATTTTTGATTATAAAAGTCTTAAAATATCAAATTAGATAAGCTACAATATAAAATTTTTAGATAATAATGATAGCAATGAAAAAATAATATAAAAGAAATTAACCTTAGTAATGATTTCAATTATTATGATGAGAATAAAGCAAATATCCAAATACATGAAATGATTAATGAATATATATATATATATATATTTTTTTTTTTGGTATTAAGGTGAGGCCTTGCTCATATCTTTATTAATAACTTTAAAAATAGTAACTACATTAAA